TATGCTGACTCTGTAAACCGCTTAGAGAGGGCTGAAAGCCCTATGAAGCGGTATATAAGTCTAACTGCTATTGCTATTGCTATTGCTATTGATTGCAGACAAGTAATAAGCAGGAAACACGCAGTGCCACCTGAAGCAGTGCTTCACTCTTTCTGCAGGGCCAGGCCAGAGGTTAAGAATCAACACATCCACTTAGAAAATATTCAGCATTTGCTGTGTAACTGATAGAATTGGTTGGCAATGAAGTCCAACCCCATGGAATATACAAATCCATGTGAAAACATCTCAGAAAGATGGCTTTCTAACTTCTGCCTGAAAACATTCATCAATAGTGACATTCTGGACATCACCCACAATCACTTTTGGTGACATGGGCAACTATTTAGATTTGATAAATAAATAAACAAATTGCTCTTTTTCCGTTAAGAATTTCTTTCTAAGGCTCAACTTAGGGATCTGTTTTCCTGCAATCACAGACCATTATTTTGTACCTTACCATCTGAGATGTCAAAATAGGTTTTCACTCTCTGCTTTGCCGTAATTGTTCAGGTATGAAGAATGCAGCCATATTCCTCTCGGCTGTCATTTTTTTTCAAAGCTAAATATGATATTGTAAAATAACCTTTTGCTTTGATTAATTTTCAGTTTCCTCTGAAGACTGTGAGGCTTACCGAGATCCTGATGGAGATTGGCATTCACAGCAGACTTGCTCAAAATTTTGTTGTGGGACCTGTACTAATCGTTACTGTTGCTCAGACCTCTTTGACAAAAATTACCAGATTCTCTGTCCCTGGAAAAGGTATGGTTGGAAATGACTGTACAAGGGTTAGGGTGTTGTGAGGTTGATTAAGATACGTTGTATATAACAATTCTGGAGAGGATACTGAAGTTAGAACATAATTTCATGTTCTGCCTTTGCTACCTGTTTATCTTGTTCATTTTTCCAGCCCAAAAGTACAATAACAAGAGGCTTGGCACTGCTGTCTGTCCTCTCTCTATCTCCGTGTTTTTAAACCTGGCAACTTCTAAATGTGTGGATTTCAGTTCCCAGAATACCCCACTCAGCAATCCCAGCCTGGCTTAGTGGCTGAAGAATTCTGGGAGTTAAAATTCACACATCTTAAAGTTTCCAAAGCTGGAAAATACTGCCCTATCCTATCAAAGGTAACTCTCCTAAAACAGCTAAATGTCTATGGAGATTCTATCATCCAGGTCGTGGTTATCCCAGAGGCAGAGGTGGGTTGGTCCCGGTTCAGATGAACTGGTAATGGAATTCAGGCCTGGGTCGCAGATCCAGCAGCCACGCCCCCAAACTGGTTCCCTCGCCGCCGCTGGGCTGCCGCCATTTTGGATTTTAGTGACTGCGCATGTGCAGTTCATTGTAAATTGTTCTGTGCATGTGTGAGGAACAATTTACATTGAACAGTGCACATATGCGGGGGTTGCGAACCGGTAGTAAAACCGGCAGCAACCCACCCCTGCCGAGAGGTGCTTTTTCAAAAATTAACTGGACTTTCTTTGTTTTTTCCTTAAGGAAAACAAAGAAAGCCCAACTTTGGGTTTCCAAAAACAGAACCAGCTGGGCCATATTTGGCAGGAGATGAGAACCTGGCCAAAAAAATTAAAAAGAGACTGCTTTCAAAGATAAACCATGACTATAGAGAAAACACATTCCAGAGGGGAAAAAATCTTCCAATATGCTCCCTGCAGGGAGCATAGATATTGTACTCCAAAAAATAGTCAGGTATCTGATTGGAAAACTGTGTTGGACCCTTGCTTAAAGTACTCCTCCCTGTTTGAACTGCAAGCATTAAACAGGGCAACCGTCCTGGGTTTGGCCCTGTGGCACAGGTTGTAGCCAAAGTTGTGGGCTTTGCCTAAATAAGGCTGGCTGGAGAATCCTCAGAGATGAAGTCCACTCAACTAAAAGTTGCCAAAGATGAGAAACACAGACCTAAATTTACCTGCTATGCCAATTGCATCTATTTCTGCATGCGCATGTTCCCTCCCCACACGCCCATCCTGCATGCGCGGCAGAAACCCAAAGACCAGCTGGCTGGCAAGAGGTGCATGTGTGGCAGAGCTGAACTGGGACAACGGCTCGTGTACCCACAGAGAGGGCACTGTGTGCCACCTCTAGCACGCGTGCCATAGGTTCGCCATCACAGCTTTATAAGATCCCTTTACTGTATTATTATTATTATTTACAGGAAGCACAATTTAACATTTAAAAATGTGAAACGAATTGGCATTAAGCAACATTGTTGCAAATAATTATGTCATATAATTATGTGACCCTGGCTTAATACCTGGTGACACTTATTCTCTGTATCTTGGGATCACAGCATTGGGAGGTAGCATTTAGGCCATCAGGTTCGGTGCGATAATCCAAATTAAAGTATCCCAGTGGTGTGCCTCTTCTCCTTTCAATGAAATAAAGTCTTGGTTTGATAGATACATTGCAGATTTTTTTGGATGTCACTTAGTGTTCAACATGTTTTCCTGCACACAACACTTTTTACATTAATTGCGCAATTACAAAAGTGATGTAAATCAATGCAAGTGATGTTCATCTCGATTTCCCTAAAGTTTGTTTCTTTTCAATACACCATTAACTTTTTTTCTTTCTTTAATTGCTTCTAAGGACTAGTCAGTCATCTTGGGCATTATCAGGATGTAAATGTTATATGTTAACACTATTAGTTATATAGCTTTTCTCATATTTTATTAGAAAAGGGCAACTTAAACATTGTTTTATTTAATCTGTGAACATCTTTTAAAATGTTTTCTTTTTAATCTTGTCGCTACAGTACACTTCCATCTTTCAAGCCTGAACCATTCAAGATAGACCCAGATTTTGATGATCTATATACGACTGATTACAGGTACACGTATATAAAAATCCCATGGAATTAGAAAGGAAATACCCTGTATTATCTATATATGCTTCTTTTTATGCGGATGATAATCCTTTCACCAATCTAAAGTAAAAACTTAAGAGACTGAAATTAACCACGCTAACTTAAAAGACACTGTAACACTGTAAGGACCACAACTATAGACTTAAAAGATGAAAAAGGTGGGAGCTACAGAGCTAAAAGAATCGGCTGCAGCAGCTTGCTGCATACTTGCACTTAGAGAGTTAGAGACGTCATGAAGCCTTGCCTAGGTCAGTTTGGCACACTGCAATTATTCTGCCATTTTTAAGAGGTGTGCGGGTAGTCCTCAAAATATGACTAGTTACTTTATGGTCATTCAAAGTTATGACAAACTGCCCCAAAGTTACCTACAACTGTGTTTCAGACTTACAGTGGCTGCGGTAGCCTGCCGTCATTCACCTTTGCAATTGACCACAAGTCCACAGTCTGCAGCAACCCCCCCACCCCAACCCTTCTCCATATCCATCCTACCCTGATGGGATCCTGAAGCACTTGGGCCTGCTCCCCATGCCTCCTGGAAGCAACCACCATTTTACCATTTAACAATTCTTTGCAGTAATGACAGCTGCTGTTGGAGCTTTCTGCCCTGAGCAACTGGCCAAACTACCTGTGTTTCCCCAAAAATAAGACTATATATATATAATACACAGAGGAGGGGGGGGCTTCCCAGAGCAGACACACGTTTCACCCTAATGGAGAAATGACAGAGACTTGAAGCTTCATCTGCTTGCAAATGGGATCTAAGCGCGCTGGGATTGCCCGCCTCCCCCCATGCCTCTGCCTCCACCTGGCTCCACTGCACATTTTTCACCCAGAGGGAAAGGAAGCTTTGTCTGCTTGCAAATGGGACACTTTGAAACGGAGCAATTAGCGCGGCAAAGGCAGGTGGAGGCAGAGGCTCGGAGGAAGAAGGAAGGCAATTCCAATGCACCGCCCACCATCTGCACTGCGCAGGCACCCACCTGGGGGTGTCAGGATTGCTTGCCTCCCCTGTGCCTCTGCCTCCACCTACTGGCGGGGCTGCCACACAAGCCTTCCCCAAGCCTCCTGTGAGCCACAAAGCATGTCAAGATCGCCTGTCTCTTCCCCACCTCTGCCTCCATGCTCAGACTTATCTATGCTGTGACAAGGGGCTGGCGGACTGCGGTTGCTGCCAGACACAGTATGCTCTGCCACGCTCGCCACTTCTTTTGCTGGCCACACCCATCGCCGGGTTTATTTTGGGGGTAGGGCTTATATTAGCCCCCGCCCAAAATCAGACTAGGGCACAAGACGTGGAATATTGAACCTTGTTATATGATCTGCCACACACTTGGCTAAGTACCCCTTACAAAAATATTGAAATCAAGGAGGAGCTTTTTGGATTGTGCCAAGGAGATTATTACTACACCTCAAAAAGAGCCACCAAAAAGATAGAAACTTCAAGTTAAACATGTTCATAATTGGATAGAATTGCTTGAGGAGTTGCCTGGAGGTTCGGAAGAGGTGTTGGTGGTTTGGAATTGTTTAAATAGACTACACACTGGTTTGGCTAAAACTAAAGACCACATGTTAAAATGGGGTTTTCTCCTTGAGGACAAGGATATTTACTGCAAATATGGCAGTATTCAAACAACTATCCATTTTTTACAGTGCCCTCTGGGACTGAGATGCACACAGAATGACTTTCCAGTCGGAAATATCTCTGCTATCAACATGGCCCAGCATTGGGCTAGAACTATATAAATCTATGTTTTTATACAAATTTTTAATCATTTAAATTAATAATTATCCCCTTTCTAGTTCCTGCATTTCTGACTTGAGACCAAATAAGATGGCCATCAGAAGACTGTAAAAAATTTCAACTCAAAACAAAAAGCGGCTTCAGCACAAATGTGCACCAAATGGCCATAGCAGAAACTGGGTTCTAGAAGCAGCAAAAAGCTTTCCAAATCAGCCATCAGAGCATCCTAAGCAGAGGTGGGTTGCTCCCGGTTCGGCCCAGATCAGGCGAACCAGTAGTAGCATCCTTGGGAGGCTCCGCCCACCTGCCCAAATGCTTTTGTGCATGCACATAAGCGTTGTGCGAGCATACGTGTGCGAGTGCCCAAACTGGTAGTAGAAAATTGGCGACCCACCACTGATCCTAAGGTTATGTGATCACCAATCGGGCACTTCCCATCTATGATCATTGTACTCTCCTGCAATAACATGACAGCTATTTGTGTGCTTCACATCCAGCTTATAACAAACAAAATTATGGAGAAAACAGAAGTAAAACTATATATAGGGTCATACGATTTCAGATTAGTTACTGTGTAGTTTAGTGAGTGAGTTTCTGGTCCCAATTGTGGTTGCTAAACAAGGACTACTTGTACCTACTAAGATAAAAATAATTCAGCAGTTCTTGTGACACTCCATGAAATAGCAATAGCTTTTAGAGTCATATACTGATCCATAGTGCTTTGTGGCTATCTCTAAGCCAGGGGTGTTAAACTCACAACCCACAGGCAGGATGCGCCGTGCACTGGCCATTCCCACCCCTGTTTTAGCATGGGGGGAAGTCGCGATACATCACGTGATGACGCGAGTTTGACACCCCTGCTCTAAGCGGTTTACAGAGTCAGCATATTTTCCCCAACAATGAAAATTGGATTTTGAAGAAGCAGCATAGGAAGAGAATTGATGCTTTGATATTAGAGAAGACACTTGTGAATACCATGGTCAATCGAGAAAACAAACAAATGGATCATCAACCAAATCAGAATTCTCACTCAAAGCACAGATTAGCAGAATAAACTACCATAGTTCAGACACATGTATAGCCCCAACTCTCTGGAGAAACCTATAAAGCTGGGAAAGATAGAAGGAAAAAGAATATGATGATCACCAGCAACAAGGACCAAGTTGGAGGTAGAACCTCCTAGAGACATCATTGGCACCCACAAAATCATAATCAGAAGTATGTATTATACTAATCACTGTGCAGACATAGAATAAAAAAGCAATTGAAACAGTAGTATATTACAAATAATTACAGGATTGGGCTTCTTGCTGCTGTCTGAGCTTGATTGTCTTCTTGCAGACATTTCTTTACCCAACTAGGTAACATTATCATGATATCATTTAGGATTTTAGGATTTTATTGAGGATTTATATGCCGCCCTTTTCCCTGAGGGGACTCAGGGCGGCTTACAACAATGAGGGGAAGGGAGTAATCATGATATCATTGTAAATAAGGGACCTTTAAATTAAAGGGATGTATTATAGAATCCCATGAAAAAGAAGCAGTCTGAAAACTTTTTTAATGTTAAATGAGTCAAATGTAGTCCTGCTAGAGCTCTTTTCCAAATACCTGGAACTGGTGGAAAATGCTTGTAATTTTAGTACCCAGGAGAACCAAATGAGTCTGCCCTACCATTGTCAAATGGACATAAGCCACCAGTAGGTCTTTCAGATCACTAGATGTGTCCACACACAGAGTGAAACTAGAAATAACAAATGCTGAGTTACTTTTGATTAGATAGGAGGGATTAAAGAAACCCCCAAGAGCCTCCCAAAGTCTTGGTTGAGAATTCAAATCCCTGATTTCTGCCATAGTGTGAACAGCAAGCACGTGGGCATATCTCACCATCTTTTTTTAAATTTATTTACAAACATGTAAAATACACACACACAAAACTTAGACATACACCACATTTACACAATACAATACGAACAGTTCTATGCCCATTTTATCATTTGTTCTTTCATGATTTCCTCTTCCATTTTATGCTTCAGGAGAAATTTATATATTCTCCCTATCATCTTTCTATCCGCGCTATGAATTATTTTATCTAATTCGTGTGGTTCTGTTTCGATGTCATATATTTTAGTACCGTGTTTACCCGAAAATACAACCTATCCTGAAACTAAAGCCTTGCCACATTTTTCGCGTGGGCAAAAATATAAGCCCACCCCCAAAAATAAGCCCCCTGGACAATCCCCCCTCAGCCAGGCAGAGCACCACTCATTGACCTAGCGGTATCCTGAAGGCGCCAAGCTGTGGGAACGAGGTGGGGGTCAAAGGCGCTCACATTGCTTGGTGCTTTTGGGGTACTGCTAGGTCGGTCAGTGGCGATGTGCCAAGCTGAAGAAGGGGTTGCCGTGCAGCTGCTGTCTTGCGAGCGGGCTCCCGAAAGAGCCGGGCACAGCCTCGGGGTCGAATGGCTGTGTTGAGCTGTCGCAGCAGCAACACAACAGCCATGAGGTGGCCACGCTTGCGAGCAGCCGTCCAGCAACCCCCCTTTCCAGCAACAGCGCCACTGACCGATCTAGCGATACTCGGAAGGCACCAAGCAACGTGAGCGCCTGTTCGCCGCCCTCCACCTCCTGCGGATCAGCGCCTTCGGAATGCCCCTATGTGAGTGAATGGGGCTCTGCATGGCTGGAGAGGGAGGTTGTGCAAACAGATTTTCCGCTCCCCACTCGAACGACTCACAGGCTCACAATGCCCTTGGCTAACTCTGCAGAGCCAGGGCATCTCCGCTGCTGGTGCCGCCTGCCGTTTGGGGGGGGGGGGGGCTTGCAGCTTTCAAAGTACAGAGGATGAATGCCGCTCTGCAAGTACGCTCTATGGTAGTGTACAACTATAGAGCGTACTTCCAGAGCGGCATCCGTCCTTCATCAATGTCCCCTCTCAACTCTTGTTCTTTTCTCTGTAGAATTTTGGTGAAGAGTTCGATAATTTTTCCTTTCCGGTCTTCCTCCTTCTCTTCCAGTATGTTTTGGAATCTTAGATAGAATGAAGCTCTTTCATTTTTAAGTTGGATTATTAATAACTCTAATTCTTTATTAATTTGTCTGTATTTCAGCTCAATTTTTTCTATCTTCTGATCTGTTTGTTTTATTTTTGTTTCGATGTTGTGGATTTTCTGTTCGTTGATTGCTAAGGCATTCTGTATCCTTTCAATTTTGTCATCCACGTTTTTTATATTTCCTTTCACCATCTTATTCACCTACAATTCTCTATCTCCTCTCTGCACAGTTCTCTGATGTGCTTTCTCAAGCTACTGGTGAGATGTACTTATCCAATCCTCTCAGCTGGTTTGTTTATTTTGCAGGGATCAAAGCAAATGTACAGGGGTAGGGAGTAGTCCAGCAATATATTTAAGAATAAAATCATTCAAGCAAAGACGCCCAGTGTGATTTTAGGATTTAAAGAGACAGTCCTTAATTGATCATTTTGCTCTTGTTCAAAATGCATCCAAATATTTTGTGCAGAAAAATGTTACTTGGGATATTTTTAATTTGTGGTAAAAGGATTGGGAAGACACTGCTAGTTCTATTGAGCAGTTTAGGTTTGCTTGAGCAATTGTTTCTGCCTTGCCTGCTGTGCTTGGGATGTCTGTGGCCCAGCGGTGCTCTGTATCTTTAAGAAAACTCTGAGGAGGGAGCAGGATGTGATCAAAGAAGCTACTTTTCCTGTTGAGATGTGAGACAAATCACATGTCTTCCGGTTTTATCCAGAAATGTAGTTACTGTGGTTTTATTTCTCAGTGAAAAAAGCTTAAGAGTTCTAAGGGACAGAATCGCCAAAGGAAATTTTGAAAAGAAATATAAGGGGTTTTTCCTCTCTGGAAGCCAAAATGAGGTAAGCTTTGTGCATTTTGTTGGCAGGCATCTTTCCTTTCATTCATTAACCATGAGCCTTGGAGCTTTCCTGTGTAACTTTGGGATATTATTTATTCAGAAGAAATACCTATTCCATTAATAGCAGTCATTTAATCTTTTTTTCACTTTGCAAAGTCCAGGAAACTTAACTACATGAAGAAGCAAAGGGGTTTTTTAATGTCAAATTTTCTTGCTGGAGTCAAAGAGGAAAGCCATTACCAAAGTATAAAAATAATTCTTATCCTTTTAATGTGTTGGTAATTAACTACACAAACTAGAAAGAGTCAGTCATTAAGTAGCAACGTGTAGTGCTTGTGTTCCCAGTAAAATAATTCGCCATGATAGTACTTGGCGTAGACCAGCATAGAAGTAAATCATTCTTTGTCCTTGGCTACGTATCTTGTTTTCATAAGGTTAGAGAGGACAGGTCTTTGTCTCTTGATAGATACCTTTTGGTGTGTTGTAAAGAGATAAATGGATAATTGAGTGGCACACAGCCTACTTTTCCTATCACGGTATAGGGTTCTATACAACAAAAAATACTGTGTCTACAGTATCCTTTTAACAGTCAATTTTGGATCTGTTTCCAGAATCAAGCTAATACAAATGATGACTTTCTGTCCAGTTTGGAAAATTAAAGTAACTTCATATATTGTACATTAAGGAAGCTGATACATTTCTTGGAGCATCTACAGTAAAAGAAAAATAATGCTTCTTTAACATAGGTAAAGAAGCCTATCTAGATCGCATCACTTTTCTTTGTGACCTGACCTGTTGAGATTTTAATTTAAAGAAAGTGCAAACTTGGAAGGATTTATTTCCTCCTTCCTTGTTCCTTTCTCTTTACCCAGCTAGATGATGCTACTTGCTGGAAGGCACTCCAGCTGAGCACTTTGTGGGACATGTCCCTGCTTGTATCAAAATGACAGCTTCTCTTCTGGGCAGAAACAGTTTTGCACAATGAAGCAGTATGCCTGGTGAGATCATCTTTAATCCTGTCCTCATGGCTTCTTCATCTCCAGCTGTTTTTTTTCCCCTTCTGTAAATAAAGTTTCTAGGAAAACCTTAAGCACCTAGAAGAAAAACAAACAAACTATAAGTTATAGAAATAGATATTTTGCACTAAGTGTTCCAAATTATCTCTTCTTTAGAGGTTTCACTGTGGAAACGCAGCTGGCACCATTATAGCTGTTTAGTAAAATATAAGCTAGCTCAATGAACATTTTCAAATGATTCTTTACTAATGTTGGAATTCCATTCTGGAAGAAGGAAAGAAATGTTAATCCTAATAGACCATGAGTTGTTTCTCTTCAGAATTGGCCTGGCCTAGGCACGATTAGCACTTGGATAGATGTCACAAAAGTTCGACCTCTTTATTCATGACTTAATATGTATGGAACCTGCTTCTAACAAGGCACTTAACAGCAACCCCAGTAGAACTGTTGAAAGAAATGTCCTTTTGGGTTCAGCTCCAAGTGGGNTTTTCCTTGCCATTTTAAATAGACTTGTTCTAGATCACAATCTCACACTTAATTTCTGACCCAATACTGCCCAAATACTGTATGTTTAGTTACCTTAAAGGTTGGCAATTGTATTAAATTCCCTCTATAGTTATCCCAAAGGTGATTAAACAAGAGGCAACTGGACTTTCTTGTTTTTTCTTTGAAGACGTTTTGCTTCTCATCCAAGAAACTTCTTCAGCTCTGACTGGATGGGGGGGAATGGAAGGATTTATATTCCTTGCAGACAGCTGGTGATTTGCATCCTTTTAGAGGGTTGAAGCACTTGGAGGTTTATCTTTATCCTCAGGGTCACCTGAGTAGTGCTCCGGGTTCCTGTAGTCTGCAATTTTTTCCCCTCTGGAAATCCATTCCTACTCCCACACCATTCGAAGGCTGTTCATCTCAAATATGATAGCTAAGGTCCATATAGATTGTCAGTCATCCAGGTCATGGTTGTCCCAAAGATGCTTTTTCAGGAGGCAACTGGACTTTCTTTTTTTTTCCTTTTTCTTCAAAGAAAAAACAAGGAAGTCCAATTGCCTCCTGAAAAAGCATTTTTGGGACAACTATGACTTTGATGACTTACAATCTCTATGGACCTCTATAGTTGCATCCAAGAATTTGCTAGGATTTCAAAGGGTGAAGCGGTAAGACCCAAAAGAGTAACTTTGTTTTTCATTCTGATAATGTTATTGCTGTTAACATTGTCATGCTATTATTTGGTACTTATCTGAATAAGTATGTCATGTGATGCAGATTAAAATCTGGAAAAATTGAAAGTACATCCAGAGAAATATTCTGCCCTTTCAATATTTCCTAGGATATTTCATTTTTCTGGGAAAGGGCTGGGTGATAACTTCCTAACTTATAAACTGATGTCACACTCAAATGCCATTCATATTTATATATTTATTAAATTTATACTGAAGTTATACCACTACGGAATACTTTTCATCATTGGTTAACCTTTTATAAGATGTTCTTGCTGAAGGATTCATCAGCAATGCAAAAGCCATATTCAGATATTTTGCACATTCAGTTGCTATATATATAAATTTAGCTCTGGTCTTGAAGAGGAGGAGGGACAATGGTTGTTTAGCCCTAAGAAATTAGAAAACGTGACAAAGAGACAGAGTAGCCTCCCTTGACAGTCTTCTCCTTAAAAGGGGGTCAATGAAAGTTTTGGACAAACTTCCCAGATTTAGTTAATGTACACCCCAACAGTGAAGGGGAATTTCTGGGATCCCTGCCATGTCTGTTCCTTGACTTTGCTTTCTTTGAAGGGCTAGCATTTGGATAGACTCAGACTATATTACCAGACATAACTGCATCAGAGATTAAGAGGTCAAATGAACATGAGCACAGGAGCAATCAGTCTGTGAAAAGGACGGTGGGAACAATTTGGTCTGAGTGTAAAGTGCATGAAGTCTGAGCAACAACCTGTTCCCCCCAAGGAAAGAGATGAGAGAGTTTCATTTACATGCAGAAAGCAAAGGCTTAATATAAAAGCATGCAGTAGTGTTTAAGGTACTAAGCTAGAAACTGGGTGACTGATTTTAGTTACCGCACACATTTTCTAGTCTGGTACCGCAAACATTAGACCGAAATGCTGCCTGCTTTTATTTGCATGCTACATCTGGCACAAAAACTTGCCAGTTAATTTTGGGCTACTCACTCACCTTTGGCTCACCTCACAGGGTTGTTGTGGGGAAAATAGAAGGAAGAAGGAGTATTAGGAATGTTCACTGCCTTGAATTTATTATAAAGGCGGGATAAAATCTAATCAATAAATAAACTAGTAAATTAACGATTAATACCAGGATGAAATCATTAAAGATTTTATTTGCATATGGAGTTTAGAGTTCACTGGAAAACAATTTTCCTTCGTAAAGGGAAGTCATAAATATTACCTTCTGAATAAGCATTTCTGAATCATAACCTTGAATTTCTGTTAACTTTTCTTTTTTTAGTCGTCATACGTGCAAAGTCCTCAGAGTGAAAATCTTCTTTATTGTTTTGTGTAAAGTTAACATTGTGGATTAAAACTAACCAAGGGTTTTGTGATCTCCTGAAAAAGATATATTGTCTAGATTTAACAAAATAAATGTGACTATGTAGACACGTTTAGTAAGGCTTATTCTGGGGAAGCTCATAGCCAAGGTGGGAACCTTGTTCTGTCCAGTTGTTTGGGGCGCCTTATAATCCCCGTGCAGTGGCTGGGGCTGATCAGATTTGTACTCTGCAACATCTGGGTGTGTTAAAGTTCTTGATGTGGCAGTAGGCAAGAAGTAAAAAAAAGTGGTGTAAAAAGTCAGCAAGGCGGATATGATTATGCAGATGAGCCTCACCTCTTTTTCACTTTTTTACATGCTTGACGTCTATGTGGTATACTTTTAAAAGAAGTGAAACTCTTTTTGTGCCTTTGGGCCTGCCTCCTTGATTTTTTTTTCTCTTATCCATGGCAGTAAACTAGTAAAACTGCCCCTCTGAAAGTTTGAGTTGATGGAGATGAACCATGTGCAAATCTTGCATTTCGCTCCTCGCCTGACATGTTTCCCATTTTTGTGTGCATTTAGAATAGCAAAATGTTCTTGGTGTAAATGTATTATTTTCTGAAGCCTTTAACTCAGACAACTTGCATTCTCAATGTTTTTCAGTGGGACGTTTATAGCAATTGGCATTTCAATTTTCGTCGTGTTTGTAGTAGGCATCATTCTCTGCTTCACCTGCTCGTGTTGCTGCCTGTATAAAGCCTGCCGAAGGAGACCGCAGCGTAAGTATCCTCCCTGGCTGAATTGTTGCTCTGTTTGAGGAAAACTATGAGTGATGTTGTTGAGCGCACTGGGGAAAGAAAAGCAGACACAGCAGAACGCTTCCCAGAAATGCTGCTTTTAAAGTAGGTGAAAAGTCACTTGTTTAAAATGTAACTAGCTTTAGATCAGAGTATTAGGTAAGCTCCCCGTTGGGAGAGCGAGTACGTTCAGCGAAGTGTTGTGAGAGTTGTGTTGCAGAACACACAAACCAGCATACAGAGACACTGCAGTTTAAATAGGCTTTTACTTTCATGNAATATTTCCTAGGATATTTCATTTTTATGGGAGAGGGCTGGATGGTAACTTCCCACAGAACAAAGGGAGGCTAATTGAAAAGTTTAGATCTTAAGTAATTTAAGGTTTTTTTAAAGGTCAGATTTCAACATGTCTTGGGTTTTTGGTTCCCTGATTCCATACTTCTCTGTGCCCAAGGAATATATAACCAAAGCTTGTTGTAATTTTTTTTTTTTAAATAAACGTTTGGGGGATATAATTTAACAATATATTAACATCTTTAAACCTTCACTTTTTCCCAATAATTTGATAAACCTCAGCTTTATGATTTACTTTAACCAAAAAAACAACTGACAATGGACACAATCATATACATACACAGCAAGCACCTTCAAGTTTTATTAGATTTCCAAAATATGGATCATAATCAGATTTTAAAAATTGATTGAATTTTAAACTAGATTTAAATTAGATGGAGGTTTATTAGCTGTTGAAGTATCCAAATCATACAAAATTCATTACAATTTTGTGTATGCAGATCATTATTTATTTATTATCACAGCTATGTAGTCATGAATCTCACAGATGTGAAGTTGGGTGACAGTTAAAACTATTAAAACAGCTAAAAACAACATGATTACAAATAAAAATAAAACTTCAGGAGAAAAACCAGTACCTTACATACAAAATAGCCATCTTATTGCCCGCATTTATACACTTGGTATCATAATATAGCAAACCATAGACCAGGTAGTATGTATTTGATACTATATATCACTATTCAGCTTTTACATGTGTGTATATCTTCAAGTCAGTCTTCATTCCTGATGGATGCCTAGACAAGTCCATGCTATTTCTTTGGCAAGATTTTTGGAAAAGGTTTGTCATAGCATAGCCTTTTTCCCAGAATAGAACAAAAAGTATTTTAGCTGGCTTCATGCCAAAGGCCTATGACTAAAACCACAATTTCCTGGTTTCTCTTGGTTTGTAGTCTAATAATTACACCATGCCAAACTGGCTTTAGGTAAATCAAACTTTTTTTCAAAACTTTCAAGGCGTTTAAGTATAACTGTCCCCACTTACTCTGCACCACTACCACAAATATTTTCCTTGCCATTTTAAATAGACTTGTTCTAGATCACAATCTCACACTTAATTTCTGACCCAATACTGCCCAAATACTGTATGTTTAGTTACCTTAAAGGTTGGCAATTGTATTAAATTCCCTCTATAGTTATCCCAAAGGTGATTAAACAAGAGGCAACTGGACTTTCTTGTTTTTTCTTTGAAGACGTTT